GAATATTTCAAACACGAACCATTATTAATTCAAAATATTTTCATAAATTTCTTTATAGAAGATAGAAGTAATTTAGAATATTATAAAAATATAATTCTATCGAGAATTATCTCCATATCATATAACAATATCGAAATATTTTTCGAGCTATTTCCTCTAAAAAGCGAACCTATCAGAGGCCTACGACGAATTTCATTAATTACTTGCAGATAATTATCCATAACTAAAAGTATCATAAATTTCCAAAAATATACGACCCTAGAATCCCAAATATCTACAGACTCCACTCACTTTGCCCTGCTAAGAATTACGAACAACTCGAAAGAAATAAAAAATGAATATCATTACGAAAATTAAAGCAAATCTTTATCGAAGATTTATAAAAAGCCGCATAATCTCTTTAATAATAATGCTAAATTAATTCTCAATATTTTTAAATTATATAATTATTCCTTCTTTTTTATACAATTTCTTCGATAAAATAAAAAAGTCCTATCACGAATATCATATAAAATACTTCGATATAATCGTATATATATATATATGTATATATATACATATAAATAAATATATATATATATATCTGTTCCTCCACGATACTCCCCATAATTCAATGCCCTCGCCCCCCCACTCCCCGATATTGCTTTCGACGCGCCCTCTTTTCCTATTCCACGATTCTACTCACCACCGACACCTGCTCACGAACTTTCCACGATATTTACATCCAGCCGCCCTCGCCCGCCCATTCACGACTTATACGCTCCCCTGCCGCCCCAATGTACACACACCCTCATCATCCCGCCAATCCGCGATCACCCATTTCTCCGCGACACTCCTCCTTTCATATTCCCACTTCACGACACTCCCCGCACGCCGTAGCCTATCCACCACTCCACGACACCCGCCGTTCCCCACGAATCCCCGTACTCCGCGACACTCCCCACAGCACACTCACACACCCACCCTCGCCCACCACTCCGCGGCACTCCTCGCCCTCTCACCCGCCACTCCACAACATTCCCCGAACATACGCCTTTGCCCCCCCACGACACGATCTGCCCTCGCCTGCCACTCCCGAAACACCCGCATTCGCCGGCCACTCCGCGACACTCCCCAGAATTCATACACCCTCGCCCACAACTCCACGACACTCTCCACGAAAATCCACGACATGCAAGCCCTCGCCCATCACCCCGCGACACTCACCACGATTCCCCCGCCCACTCCGCGTCACTGAAAGACTCCCCACGACACACATGCCCTGAAACCCGCAACTTGCGTTTCCACGTTCCGGCCTGTAGCTGCGATGTCTCGTGACACGGTAAGTCCTCAAGGTACTTTACCGTTACTTTAGCAGTCTATTTTACACGGCATGCGTGCATGTACCAAGTGTCCAAGCATTCACTTTAGTATTGAATGTCGATGGTATCTAATGCTTTGTCGAGCGGCGTAGTGAAGTGGAGGCTAGAATACAGAACAAAGTTGACCGAAAATGTCGTGGTGCGAAACAATGAATTTCCCGGGAATGTGGCGCGACACGAAACCATATTTTTTGGTTTTTCTGGAGTTTCGTTCAGCACGAGACCCCGAAATCCGCGGGATTTTGAGGGTTTCGTACTATGCAGCAGGTCGAGTACGAAATCCTCAAGATCCCAGAAACTTCTGGGTTTCGTGCTAAGGATTCGCCTTTGAATTCAAAAGGTCGACAGCCGCAGGCGTGCCAGCGATCCCAAACTCCAGAGATTTTCATGGTTTCGTATCGGCAGCCATCCTACGCAAATCCGAAACCGGAGGAAATACGCGGCATTTTATAGAGTAAGTATTAATACCAATACAAACGAAAGAATAACATAATAATAATAGTAATAGTAATAATAACAATAATAACAATAATAGTAACAACAATGATAATACTAATCATAATAATAATAATAACCATAACTATAATTACAAATATTATTTTTATTACTACTTGTGTTATTATTATTGTTATTATTATTATTATATATATATACACATATCATAATCCTTTTTATAAGAGTGCCGTACTATACTTTAAATTCATCTCTCATCATAAGAATAGAACTGTTTTCAAACAAACAAAACCTATTTTCCTATAATGTCATGCACGCATATTAACATGTTACCAACGAAGACTAGATCTTTCGACAATCATCTATCATACAGAGGAATACAAAGACACGCAGAAGTAGTTATATAAGCGAGATTAACCAAATCTTTTAATCAAGTATGAAAATGCAACGAAGTATTAACCGAAACAAGCAAATATAGATATCTCTCTGAAATTCACTAATTTCTTTTTGATTTTCGTTTCTGGTATCCTCAAAAAATATATACACATAGACACATGGTTATGACTGTTACCAACATGTAATGGTATATATATATATATGTGTACATAAACAATGCTTCATAACAGCTGTGCGTGCAGTTATAATGCTCGTTTACCTTCAAGACTTTAAATATCGATTGAACGGTAAGACCTGTCCTCAACAAAACCAGAAAGCACAAAATGAAGACATGGTCATCCAAACATTTACCTTGTTATTGACACAGCTGCAAAAGCAGTCGGATCGCACGAAGCTGACTGTGCCATTGCTTGATTTGCGTGCAATGACATCGGTATCAGAAATCCTTTGATAAGATGTCTTCCTCTCTCGCTTGTGGAGCCGAGGACCCTAGTCCATTTCGGACAAAGCATGCTTTTGAGTGATACCTGCGGCTTGCATAGGTCCGTTGCCCTGCACCTAAGACCGGACTTGACAAAAGGGTGTCGAGGTGGCTGAAAGCTAGGTGGCCGACCAAAGCCATGATCTCGGCATCTTGGCGAGCAGCCTTCCATGCATGATGCAAGTGTAGATCCCAAACAGTGGAAGACACCAGTCTAAGCCCACCTAGCCAAGAACCCTTCCAGGAGCACCCATGAGGCTCCCAAGTCACTCCACAAGTTCAAGCAGTGCACTGTTGAGCAGCGGGATTTCGAGTTGATACAAAGTCAGGAGCTGTACTCCGGATTTTACCATATGAGTTGGGGGCGTCCCCTGGAATTGGGGGGGCGCGCGGGGCGCTCCCCGGTGCGGGACCGATTTGGGCCCGGCGACTCGGCCCCGGGAGCCGACGCGCGCACTCCAAGGGTAGCAGAGTTGGGCAACGACTGCTCTTATGCGGACACGAAGCATGAGGATTTAAGGACTAGAATGACTAGAAACCCTTGACAGCAGGCCTCTTCTGGATAGAACTGCTGCCTTGGTTGGCAGTGACACTGGTGTTGTCTGGGTGGCAAGTTCTTATTCGTCGATGCGTGCGGGATGACGGTCTCTTCGCGTTCAGAAGCATTCGCTGGAAAATTCGGGCTCAATAGTTTTCGTTCTCAGTGCAAAGATCTGACAACCGCTGTCAAGAGTATCCTTTGGATCCCAACTGGAACAAACCGCGCCGGAACAGCAGTGCCAACGGTTCCAAACATCTGTGGCAAGATCGTCGAATGTTCAATGAGGAGGACCAGCAGGATGAGTAACAAAGAAAACAACACTGCCTTCTGCGTCATTGAACTTCCTCCCTTTCTGCAAAGCTACATGACATGAGTGTCTTGTGCAATGCACTGGCCCAGACATATTCGGTCCGATTCCTAATGAAACCCTAGGCCCTCGGCATCTGCCTTCTGTACAAGGGGGAGGCCATGTACACTAGGACGCCAGGACTAATAGAAGAAGGCATAAGAAGGCCATGTGTACCTTATCAACAGCCTGTCTCCGTCCACAGTGGCGGAAGGCAAATCTTCCCAGAGCCTCGGACTTCTTCTGATTTCCCCATCTCCGAGGGCCAAGCAAAATGCAATGTTCATGTTCCAGGTACTTCTTCTGTACCTGAAAGTTTTGGCCAGGGGTTCGGAGATATGCGATGAAAACTGTTGGCTTGGTTGTTCATCCCTCCTGTTCACCTTCCCTGCCATTGATGGAGCTCGGGCTACCAGGTTGATGCGGTGTCATGCCGCCGATTTACTTGCTTTGTGGGCTAAATATTGTATGACCACCAAACTTGTTCGAGACTAGCTCACGACAGCGTCGCAACGAAGATCTTCCACATTTCTGCATACCAGGTGCTCCCCTGACTTTTGGTCATTCTCACATTCACCCGCGTTCTCGACTCAGTGCCAACGTCACAAAGGCATTGATTTTGCTGCGAAATCTCTTTACGATCATTCTTTTCCGAGTCTTGCTTCACGGAGCCACGTACAAAGCCACATAAACAACGAACCTGCCCGCTTTACATTACAGGCCGGCAGCGTCAAACCTCCAAGTCTTCATGCGTGGACAAGGCGGCCATGTGGTAGAAGTCGAGCCTGGGTCCAGCATCTGAGCCGGGGAGGATGCTGCGAGCGCATGCCAAGTGCGTTGCATAGCGGGATGCTCCTTGCGTCTGCACACGCTGGAGATGCTTTCGATCAACGCCTGTGTCACAGCAGTGTCCAGTGGTGCGGCCACGTCGGCATGACGAACACTCTCTGCAATCCTCTGGATCGAATGCTGCCTGACATATTTTCCTCCAACAGGCGGGCTTTCCAAGTCTGTCTCTCGAAAGCTTTCTTCTCGTTCGAAGCCCGCAAGGGACCATGTGCTGCTAAGCTTTGACTGCTAAGCTAAACGATACCAAAGGAACATTTGCACCAGGTCACTTCCAGCTTTCCCGGCCCTTTGTCAAGAAAGCTTCCTGTCCCCGCAACTTGCGCTCTCTGTACAGGCGGCGCGTGGAAAACACCTTGGAGCACCAGTGGCTGCCACGATGCAGCACTTTTTCTGCACACAGGGGAATGGATGGAATGGCCTGAGCTTCCTGGAAGTTGGGCATAGCCGGGCAGGAACCAACGCTTAGATTTCGATCAAGGCTAAGGTCTTTGGACGTCTTTACAGGTTTTGCGACGAAGAGCCTGTGCCGTTGCCCATCGATGCATTCCAGCTGGCCCTTCATGCCTGCGCTTCTCACATCACAGAAGTTGGCACTGTTTGTGGTTCTTTCTGCTGCGCATGTGACCTGGCAAGCGTGAAGACCGGGTATGGCAGTTTAATCTGAGAAGCTTTGCAACAAGCTCTGGTGATGTGGGTGCCTTGATGCCGCGAGCGCAGCACGTAGTGCTGCATCGTCATCCATGTCCTTGTAAATTTGCTCTGCCCAAGCTGCTCGTGGAATATCCAAGCTCAGCTCTCGGAAGGCTCTCGGCCGCACACTGGCTGGAACTGACGCAGGCGACGCTGCTGCTCCTCGTCGAGTTCTGAAAACATTGGAACCGAGCATATCAAGCAGCGAGCAATGCCTCCTCTGCCGTCTGCGTCGAAAGCCTGACGGCGTGAGGCGCCGAGATCCAACAATAGACTTGCAACTGTGGCGCTCGTCAGTTGGGCAGCGCAACATAATTTGCGGGAAATTATTGCAGGAGAAAATACGAGCTGCTTCGGGCCTGATAGCCCGCTGCAGCTCATCCTCTTCCTCCTCCTCGGAACCTGCGGCAAGTGCTCCGAAAGATGGACTACAAGCATTGCGCTAGAAATGGTAGTTTTGCCACCTCGCATTGATGGGCCGAAATGGCCGAAGCCAGGCGCATGGTTTGCAAATAGGTTCGACCGATCGCTGAAGAAATCGCGGAAGAGGTCGAAAGGATCGCGACCTCAAGACGATGACAGCGTTGCATGATGCGTGATCACTGTACAGGTGTATTTCATCTTCTTTATCAGTTCGTTTTAGGAAAGAGCGAGCATTCCCATCAGTTTCCGGCGTCCGAACACACCGAAAGTGGAAGAGTCACCGTCCGTCCGCGTCTCAGTATACCTTGACATCACCGACGTAGCTTGCATGACGCTCGCTTCGTTGCAGTCCCCTGGCCTGACTCCATCTGGGCCGGTGCGCGTGAAGACAACACGGACACCTGCCACCGCATTCGCCCGGGCAATGGCTTACCGGGTCTGCATGTCCGGGCGTTCAGTCTCTTGTAAACTTTCGAAAACAGGAAATTCTGCAAGGTCAGCTAACGACGAGTCCACCCCGCCACATCTCTAAGGGCCGGTGGCTCGAATTTCGCGAGTGGCCTGGGCTGCCATGGCCGAAGCCTGTGCAGCGACACCGATTGACCAAGAGGTCCCCAACGACAAATGAAACCGAATGAAGCCGATCCAAGCAGGCCCAGGCAGCCTCCAAAGCCAGCAAACGGCCCAAATCCGGCCATGCCGAAGTTTTCGTCCTCGGGTGGAACAAGCACCGAGCTTCAAGCAAAGCCGAAGCTCTCAAATTTCAACCTATCAGTACCAGGGTGGGGGCATTGTGGCCAGAGCTGCCTGGCCCTCGCATACCATCCTCAGCCGAAGTGAAACAAAAGGGTTGACCCGACAGACCAACACTTGCACCAGCCATCAGCCTACCTGCCTTCCCGAAGCGGTCGAAAGCTGCTCTTTGCTCGGTATCGCTGAGGACTTGGTATGCTTCCGAAATGAGCTTGAACCGCTCCTGGAGAGAAATGCCCGGCAAACTTCGTCCACACTCGAAGATCTTAAGAAGGGACTGATAAGAGCAATCCATCTAAGAACAGAGATCGGGCGGACGGTTTCCGCCGAACCCAAGGCGAGGCCTTCGGTTGAACAGCAGCAACCTTGGCTTGAAACCGGGCTTGTCGATTCGTCTGTCCTTCAGATCAGTCAAGTAGGATTCTTCGGACCTCTGCCAGATGGCGCTGGTAGATCACTGCACCTGATAAAACACATACAAAACAACCTCTACTCGTTGAAATAAGCTTCTACGGGACTGGCAAGAGTATTCCATCTGAGGAAAAACATCGGGCGGAGGGTTTCCGCCGACGCCTTCGGCTGAACAACAGCAACCTTGGCTTGAAACCGGGTTTGTCGATTCGTCTGTCCTTCAGATCAGTCAAGTAGGAGTCTTCGGACCTCTGCCAGATGGTGCTGGTACATCACTGCACCTGATAAAACACATAGAAAACAACCTCTACGTACTCGTTGAAATAGACTTCTACGGGACTGGCAAGAGCATTCCATCTCAGGAAAAACATCGGGCGGACGGTTTCCGCCGAATCTTAGGCGTCGCCTTGGGCGACGCCTTCGGCTGAACGACAGCAACCTTGGCTTGAAGCCGGGCTTGTCGATTCGTCTGTCCTTCAAATGAGTCAGGCAGGATTCATCGGACCTGTGCCAGATGGTGGTGGGAGATCACTGAACCTGACAAAGACACATAGAAAACAACCTCTACTCGTTGGAATAGACTTTGTTCATATTGCTTGTCCCGGGCAATACCGGTCGGCCCCTGGCAAACCTGAAAAAGTCAGGCTGCTGATGCTGACCACCGGCTCGTCGGCAGACGTCCACCCATCTCTCTTTTGCCATTCTTGATTGGACTTGCAGTGGCCATAGCTGTGCTGCTGAAGCCTGTTGTCAGAGCCTCCGGACTCAGGGGCAGTCCACTCCCTACAAGCAGAATATGTTTCCTATGTATTTTTGCAGGCTCACTGATCTAACAGCACACCATTTGGCAGAGGTCCGACGAATCCTACCTAACTTAGCTGAAGGACAGACGACTCGACAAGCCCAGCGTCAATTCCTTGTTGGCAGCTGACTGCTCCTTGTTCTGAACCGCCACCTGCTTCAGTAACTCCTGTTGTTGGCTCAACATGACCTGCTGCTGCTGGAGCATGCTCTGCAGGAACATGCTCGGCTGTTGCTGCTGTAGTCCCAACCCTAGCTTCGCGCTAGATCTCAAAGTCATAAGCTGAAGATTTGGAGCCTCCTCCATTGGGCCTGGCACCGGCTCTGCCAGCTCTGGCGCAGCGAATGTCTTCTGCGAATCCTCCGACCAAAGCGGGGTCTGGGCCGCCTCGACCTGCTCGCCTTTCAAGCCAGTCTGGCAGCGCACTCTGTGGCCTGCGGCTCTCACGAAGAGTCTTTCATCGTCCGAATCGCCGACCCCCCTTGGCAGCAGCTGTGGTCGCAGTCCCATGTCATGCAGTCGTCGTCGCTTGGCTTTCTGAGTGGCTTCGCCAGCCTCAAGAAGCATCGGGGCAGCCTGCCCGACAGCTCATTTCGCAGTTACGCTTCCATGGACGCAGGACCTCCTGCAAGTGCCTCATGCTCCGGAGAAAGCTAGCCAAGCTGACGAACATGCACAACGAACGACATGCTGCTGACGTGGATATGAAAAACGACCTGGACAGCAACTCCATCGACTGCACTCAGTCCTCGGCATAAGCGCGATTGGCAGCATCCTGCTTGTCTGGATGCCATTTTAATGCTTGCCTTCTGTAGGCTTTCCTGGCCGGTCACACCGCTTTTACCATTGCAGCAAAGGCATCAGCCATGTGCCAGTCACATGCTGTCACTGCAGTCTTGATCTGCTCTGCATCCGCATCTCTCGCAACTTCCAGCAAGTCATAGAAGTCCTGTCCACACGAAAACCCCGGCAAGCAGGAAGGGCCGCTCAGCAGGATCATTGCAAGTGTTTGTGAACAAGGTGGCCAAAATTCTCTGGAACGAAGGCTCACCCTTACACTCCACTGACTGGCAAAGCCTATGTACAGTAGTTGACGACGGCACCCCGCCCTCATCCCGACGGCTTCGAATGCCCTGGAAGCCATGGACGCACGCGTGCAAAGCATTGCGCATGACTCTCCTCGGGATGGGGCGCTTGGGGCGCTGAAGCCATGGCGCTGGTCGCATGTGGGCCACTGGTTATCAAGCCGCTGATGCTTTGAGACTGAAAGCCGTTCTCAAAAGCAGGTCATTTCCAACTTCAGCGCACGTCGCATGTGTCTTGCATATTTATTCCCATGTTCGGAAGCCAAAGCTGCTTGTCGGGTTGCTCTGTCGTTTCCCTTGGCGGCCATTGCATGCAAACATGCGCAGCCTCCAAGATTTGCTGGAAGGCTGGCAGGTCTTCCCCTTCTGGCAGGCCCTGCTCTGCCTCTTGCCACAAAGCCTCCAAGAAAACATGATTGTCTTCAGAACAAGTCCGAACACGTTTGAATCAAAGATGCAAAGGCCTGGCTACTGCTAAGTCAAAGGCAAGCCTCATGCTACTATCAGACTTCCACGGACCTGGAAGACCAGATGATGATGAAATCCGAGCAAACTTTCTTCCTCGTCGTCAGCCTGAAAAGTCAAGGCAACTGAACCCCACTGGTGCGTTTGAGGAATTTTAAGTTCCTCAATGACTCCTCAATCTTTTGCTGCACGGAGCTTGCTGGCAAGGCACCGCCTGCAAGACATCGTCATCCGCGGCCGGACTGCCTTTGCTTCACTGGAATTGGCGGCTTGTGTGCACCCTCACGCCCGAGGTCCCATACTCTCGATGCCGGGGCTGTTGCGGGAAAGAGCTTGCGCTGTTAATTTGGCCTTCAGCATCTTGACATCCGTCATCATCCGTCAATGAGTCGAGGCATCCAAATCTTTCTGCGGAAAAGCGCAGCCTCCCGGTCCATACATTGAGCAACGTAGTCGGCCTGCGGCACATGTAATACAAGATAGTACAAGCACGATGGCAAAGGAAGGATCGTGGGTGCCTCTGGAGCCTTGCCACAAGATAGGCAGCCCATCTCTGAGCTGTTTGGATGGCTTGGGCAAAGCTGGGGCTCGCCACCTCAGCGACAGCTCGTATGACTTACAATAACTCAGTGAGGTGACGCAATAGCTTCCTGAGTCACTGGCAGGCAGGACAAACAAAGCTGCGTTCCACCTCCGGCAAGGACACACACCTGCAAAGGATCAGAAGGCACAAAGAGGCGTTCATTAAGACAGTGGACTGCTGGAGTGCCGGCGTATGTGACCTGTGAATCGTCAGCATCTTGCCGATTGTTGCCGAGTACTTGTAGGCGGCGGTACCCAACCCGGTCACAGCTCGTTGCACTGAAGTTCTTGAAGAAAGCTTCCCCCCCACCCCCGATGGCCTGCTGTTATCGCTTCGCCCGAAGATACAGCAGTTCTTTGAGGGGGTGCAGCATATCAAGGTTTCCAAACCCAAGAGCCGTTGCTTAGAGCTATGTAGTGATCAGCCCGCCACTCCACGAGCCAGAGCTGGAACACGACAGCCTTGCAGACATCCATGTCTTATCCACAACAGCAAAAACGCTGCACGATACTTTGGCCTCGATGTGAGCCTTTGATCTTGCCAGGTTTGTCGGCGATACTAGATCACTCATGAAAGGTACTGTTTGGGTTGCAGCAGAATGCTGTGCGTCTTCTGCGCATCGATTGCCTTGACAGTCTAAGGTGAAGTCTGATGTAGGCGTTGGATGCGTAGCATTCGCACGATGAGATGGGCGGCTTGCGGGTTAAGGCTAAGCCTTGTGATATAGCGCGCAGCGCAAGTACAGGGCTCTTTCTCTTTTCTTCCGCATCTTCATCCACACAGACAGGGGCGCGAACCCTTCCGCGCGCGTGGGCGCGCACTGGTTGTTGGGTCTCATGCTCTGTCTCTCTCTCTCTCTCTGCCTCTCTCTTCTCCCCCAAATTGCTCGTTCCTCCATTTCACCCCTGTGACATCTATATTCCCGCCAGAAACAAGTGCAACATGTCAGAGCCTGGGGCATGTGCAGGAAAATCCCCATCCTTGCAATGCCTCAGCGCTGGGGGATACTACAGTGTTCTGTTTACTCGTCTCTAGGAACAAGCGTTGCGACAACGACCAGGGTCCGTGCCTTTGCACGTGCTGCTGCCGGGCAATAACCAGCAGGGAAGTTCAGGTAGTCAATAGACAAAGCCTCACCCCAGTTCTGAACCTTCCCAGCTTGTAATAGAACCGTACCAGCCAACACTTGGTTAGCGGCTTCGCCCGCTTCGATGTCACGGAGGGCACGGTAAGTTTGAGTACCCGCTTCTCCATCTGCAGGTCACCCATGGTCCGAGCAACATCGAACAACGTGGGCAGCAAATGATGATGCCAGCCGGCACATGCACACAGTCAAAACAGTTGTGCACGGCCACTACTCTTTCTGCTGCGCTCTGCCGGGGTGAACGTTGGCTTTGCTTTGAGCCTTCTATTCCCCTGCGACCTTCCACTTCGTGCAGCGATGCTCACACATCGCAGCACCTCCCGGATTTCATCCCAAGGCATGGCCGCTGGAGTTGTTTGCAGCCTAGGCGTCCAGTCTTCTGCTCCTGGTCATGTTCCAAGCTACGGGATACACTGAGATGATTGCCTGTTCCATGGCCAAGTTCATCCCATGGCATGTCGTTGACCTGGGAGGAGAGTTGCGATAGCTCCGATCCATCTCCCTGTTCTTTGCGGAGTTGTGGAGCAATAGGGCACTGACTTGATGGCACCCATTTTCATGCCAACTTCCATATCAGCATCCACAGCCATTTGGTACCTAGCTTGCTCGTCACCAGCTCGGCTCATAATCATAACAAACTCACCGGTTCGGACGCTCCCAAGCACAAGTTTGCAGCTAGAACGAGTCTGCTTTTGTGTACTTGCACTGGGCACTCTCTCTGCTTCATTCTTTCGGCAAGCTCTCTGCGTGCATCTAAGGCATCCTGAGGACGTCAGGTTTGTCACGGCTTGCAACTGCGCTGACTCGCATGCAGGAGCCAGGTTAAGTCCGGCACGTTGCCGCTCATGGCCATGTCCTGCTGGTGTTGCTTCACCTCAGCAAGCTCAGTGCGAGCTCTCATGTGACACGAATGGACGGTGACTTCACGCTTTGCTGGGGAGGAGCTCGGAGCTCGCTGAACCAACAGGTAGCCTATGGCTGACCAAGTCAACTTCAGGTAAAGCTGCTTGCGCATGCTAGCCGCTAGCACAGCACTGTCTCCTGGGTGTCGGTGTTGTAGATGAACAGGGCACCGAATCCGCAGCAAGTAGGATCCCTGAAAGGCCTCGGCTGGGCACAAGCTCCCTCTTTGATTTCTGAGCGCCCGTGTAGCTGCTCGCAAGAGCAACGAGTAAGCGCTGATCACTGTCTGGATTGCTGGTGCGTATCCCTTGCCTCCCGTGCATTCACTGGAGACTCTAGGCAGAACTGACAGATGAACATGCACCGTTCGAAACTGTAACCCCTGCCACAGATTAAAACCAAATGTCGATCATGACTGTTGCCTCGGGTGTCCACTTGAGCCACGGCAATTTTGTCAGCCCAATCGATCTTTATGAGGACCTGCAGCCACAGCAGAAAAAACACCAAGAGCGCGACAAACGTTTGCGGGCTTCGATTCTTGCATACGGGATATCCGGGCCTTGTTCCACTTGTCGTTCTGAATCTTTCCATCATTGCTAATCCTCACCTGGTACGAGGAGTCAGAGCAGATGCAGAAGTTAAGCTGTGCTATATCAGCTTGGCTGAGATTGCTACCAAGTTTCCTCCACCTCCACAAAGCTGCATGCCTCCACGGACCTCAGACGGGCGCTGCTTGTAGCAGCTGAACTATCAATCTACTCCCTTCCTTGACATCTCTGTTGCGTTCCGTTCGGCGGTTGTCCTTTTAAGCAAAACAAACAGCACCGTATACTTTATACCAGTGCCTTAATGCCTGAGTGGGAATTCCTTAAAACGAGGTTCACCGGTCTGTCTTTCAGGCTCCCACCGTGAATTGCACTCCCACTTTGCAGTCCGGCAAAGCTCCCTGCGCACATGTTCTGCTTGTGAACAGCTGAGGAACCTGCTGAGGCCATGCCTCGAAGGGTTTCTCCGTAAACACCAGGCATGCATTTGGCATGTCAACCTGAAGTTTAGGACTCTGAAATTGAATAGAGCCAAAGAGTGTCGCGGGGCGCACCTTCCCATTCACGGTGAACTCAAATTCTACCTGCAAGCGGCTGCAGCAGGCCGGTTCGTGGCTAGGTGGGAGCTTACCGCGGGCCTCCGTTGGCCTGATGAGCGGAGTGAAGGAAGTCCAAATGCCAGTGCATGGTGCGTTCGCAGCCCCTGCATGCCCACTGGAAGCATCCACCCTCTACGCGGTTGCTTCTACCTGGTTCTGCCTCCCATCAGCTGCAGGCACATCTTTGCATCCTGCCCATTTCACTCATGCAGCTATTGTAGAGCGAAATCAAGGCAGGAGTGGTCTCCGTCCAGAGGTCCTTGGGGTTGGATGGATATTTCACCTCAAATACAAGCGGAGGCTCGTTCGCGATGGGCGGTCCAGAAACTCAGGCAACCGCCAGCTTTGCCGAAATCAAACCCTTTCGGATTTCCTTGCCGCTCTCGTCCTTTCAGGCATGGCAAGACAGTCTGCTACTAGTAGATACCAAATCTAAGTCTAAGTCTGATGTTCTCTGCAACTATTTCCTCCGCTCGGGATGGGAACGTGTCCAAGGCTTCTGCAGGGTGCTCCTAACAAACCTGGCTTCGATACCATGTCCTGCTCCGAGGGCCCGAGCAGCCTCGAGAATGTTCTTATTCTCTCACTCGCTCTCTGGCTGGAGATATCTGTGCTCCGAGGCCGTGGCCAGCGCTCTTGCCAGTCGTCTCCAAACTTTTCCATGTACTCGAAATCGATTTCGTTGACCACTACGCCCTCCGAAAAGGCTACTGGAGCTTCAGTCGGGGCAGTGGGTGCTGCGGTCTTCGCTGCATCCACGGCTAGGAGGCTCAGCGCTGATCTTAGGGACGTAGGTCTTTTGCTTGCTTCGTCCAGTTGGCTGTTGGATGGCAGGGTTGCGTCATCCACAAGCATGACGGCCATCTCGTCGAAACCGGGGAGCACCTGTGGCAGAGCCTTTTCAGCCGTTCCCTTGGACATTTCAACAAGGAGAACCATCTGAAAGTCGGGAGCTTCCGCGGCTTCCAGGCCGAGTGTCCGTGCGACCTCACTGGTCTTCTCATGCTCGAAGGCTTCGATAGGCATCTGTGAGTCACAGAATCTGCGCAAGTTCGGTGGGGAAGTCCCCAGTTGCAGCGCGAGGCGTGATCCTCGAGCAAGTGCTTCCTTCAATGCGCTTCCAAGCGTTGTGCGAGCTATGTCTGGTGGCATCGCCTTGGCCAGCTGCACCTGTTCACCATCAGAGCGTCAGATCCAGGTCCTACTTGACACTACTTGATGCTTGTTCTACAAACCGCTGGTCCTACTTTCGTCCCGGGGCCTGAACTTGGAGCTGACACACGTTGACCATCCCCGCATCACAGAGCTGCAGGTACTGGCTGACAGCTTTGGTAGCCAGCTTGCTGCCGCAAATCAGACATGCATGCTGCTTCGAGTGCAGAGCATGTTGCAGGTTCCTGTGAAGGTCTCTGAATGGCACCGCTGGCCACTCCATCGGAAACTTGGAAAACGGGCTCTCTGCTGGCGCCACATACGATTCGACCAGCTGTGCCAGTGCGAGTGCCGCCCGCAGTGCGCCCTCCTGCGGCCGAGGCGGCAGGGCTGAAGGCTCCGCCGCCTTGGCCTTAGCCGCCTTCGCCTTCGCCTTTGGCGGAGGCGCTGTCGTAGATGTCGTAGCCATGAGGCTTCCCAAATCTGCCTCTGAGATCACGGCAGCTGCCCTCTGCAGCTGCAGCCGACTACATCCCAAAGGGCCCAATGCACGGATCTCGCGCACCTTATCAGCAAGAAGCATCTCCCATGTTACTGCGTGCTGAGAATGTATGTTGTGCCTGACTCCTTCAAACAAACTCATTGGGCTCTCTGCTAGTTCTTCGGGCTTGTCGAGGGCCGTGGCCGCTGTTGCCCAGCTCGCGGCATCCGTGTCACCGAGCAGTGTGAGAAGCGCTTCGAGCACCTTCCCCACGGTGCTGCTCGGGGTCTCCGTGCTTGCAAGGGCCGCCCAATCGTCATCTTCGATGAAATTCAGATTTGTCTCAGCATCAAACACCTTGCATCACTATGCCCGATTCAGGGACGCGAAGGGAAACGGATAATGCGTAACAGGCCACGGACAGCTTGTCTGGCCCAGGTGAATTGACCTTAGGTGCAGCATGTGGGCCGTTGCAGGTTTTGTTCAATGATATTTCAGATTGGAGCTGGGTGTCTGCGTTTTTCCTTTGCTACTTGTATGCTTGAGAGCCTGGGGACTATGGGCAGGAATCCTTGGAAAGGAACGACTGACCGAAAGGAGGAAATGCGTTCTTCCCGGGACTTCGAGACATGAAGAACTGGAGAAGTTCTGAGGGACTTGTTGGAGGATTGATAATTGCTACTGTAAACGCAGTCTTGGCTGGAAAACCTCACCCCGACGGTGTAGATGCTCTTTATCCTGACGTCTTCTCGCCAAGCTACTGGTGCGATGGGTTCTGGAGAACTGGCGGCTTTGGCCTTGGCCGCTGCCGGCTTCGCAGTTGCTTTTGCACCAGGTTTCGCCTGGCACGGGGCGCGAGGCCAACCCTGCAAAAAAAAGGAGGGTGTGTAGCCAACCTTCGGCGGCATGATGCATGATCGGAGCCGGGTCTCAACACAGAATCGTCACATCTTCGCCAAAACCTACAGGCCTAAACATGCATGACCGAGATTAACCTAGGTGCGCCTGGCCGGGTTGTAGCTTGCACAGCTTTCGGTTTGGGTGCGGAATGTGCAGCCGCCTGTGTAGCTTCGTGATTCGATGATTCTTGCTGCATGGTGGCAGTGCCAGTGCTTGAGAGCTCCAAAGGCGATACTTCGCTGCTCATGGTTGCAAGCCCTCGAGACTGAAAGGATCGAAGCCAGAGTCCAGGCCTTTGGTCTGCCATGTCCCCAAGAAGCAATTCGGCAGGCAGGAGTGCTCAAACATGCTGCCTGAGCAAGATCTGAGTTGAGGCTGGAACATGTCAGAACCGCCTGCCGGTTGTGCCCGTGCTTGCAACTGATGCAGCTGCCCGCAGTTGGTCTCAGTAGGTGCATTACTGCAAGACAAAACAACCTGAAGCGACATCTGTCATCTTTTTGAGGTACCCTTGCCGACTACCCCAGCGCTTGGGTTTGGCAGGGCCGGAGAGGGGCTCCATGAACTGACTGCAGTCTTACAAAGGCTGCGAGTCCTTCTCACTTGAAGATGTTTCTGGGTGACTTGAGCTACCTCCATCAGACGTGTGGGTTGCCGCATGTCGCCTCCAACGCCCGGAGCTGTTACGAGTGGCTTCAGCACAAGTGTCCTCCGCCAACTTCAACCAGCAGCGAAACTTACAAGATCGAGAGGCGCAGCGGAGGAAATATCGGCCATTCTCCTTCGAGACACTCATGACCCGCCTCAGTAAGGCAGGCTTCTGGCAGTAACAAGCCGGAAGCTCAGCAACTTCGTCCAACCAGGCATGGAAGCCACAGCCATCCCAGGGACCGGGGATCCCGCAACCTCCGTCATCGTAGCTACTTCCCCTCCGCCTCTGGCAGGAGAGGTAAGGACGTCGGTCCTCCCCATATCCTGCATAGTTGCCCGCTCGAACCTGTAAAAGGACTGGTGGAATCCCACACATGCAGAGTGGTAGCTGGAGGGCCAGTTCCTGACGATGTGCACGCTCTGTGGTAAGCCGAAAATTCGGAATGGGCTGGCAGTGTGGACAAAAGTACGTTATGCGCTGTCTTCGCCCTTCCTTTATCAGGCTAACAGGGCAGCTGCAACGAGAGCACACCTTGTGGCCATAGATTCGCATAAGGTGACAGCAGCCCATGTTCTGCCCATCCTCGGATCTCTGGCAGTGTTTATACCAGAGATCCGAAAAGTGGTACAGCTCCTCCAGCAAGCCTCGCCACTCCGTGTCAGTCAGCTCGCTTGCACGTCGAAGAGGGAAAATACCTGCCATAAACAAGCCTTCGCACTTGATGATGTTGCCCACCCCGGGCAAGCGCGACTGATCCATGATGAAATCAACGATGAGCTCTTCAGATGCCTGAAACATGCGAATGGCGTCATCGAGAGCAAAGCGCTTGTCTCGGTCTGCATTGATGTCAAAGGCACTGCGAGCCTCCACGGCATGGACATATTCCGGAGGAGCTAAACTGAAAGAGCTTCCCAAGTCGCTCCACAGCAACAGTCGCAGGCCGGTTCGAGGGTCAGTCGAGGATGCGGAATCAGAGACAGTCTCAGCTTTGTCAGTCTCAGCTTCTTCTGCTTCTGAAAACTCGAGGACAACTGCTGCGGAGCCATGCTTGCAATGACCTCCTCCGGGAGACTTGGGGCCCCACCGGACAACATCACCATGGGAGGGCTTCTGCTCCACCATGTAGCCCCCTCCATGACCGAAATGGAAGCGCAAGCCGCCTCCCCTCCGTTGTTCGTCCCAGCGTATGCCAAATAGCAGGAAAAGCTCTTTGCCCACGGCAAAGACTTCACAAGCTCTGCAGCCGACCAAGGAACGGAAGTCTGCCGCTTGCTGCGCAGACTCTGCACGAAGCACGGCCTTGAGCCGTCGTCGCAACAACACTCTCAGCAGTTCTGCATGGCGGTGATATTTGGGACCTTCGACCATGGAAGACGCTTAACAGCTCGGCGAGCTGGAAGGTGTATTGCACATGTCTGCAGGCGCTTGCCTTTAGCTAACACCTGGACTTGCTGGTCCACTACGGTCAACACATCATGCCAGGTGGACGGCTTTCCATCAACTGCACTACTACTAGTATGAGCCAAGCCAGCGAGCCCGTTCTCCCAACAGGGCCTTCTGCCGTTCCTCTATCTGACTCTATCTCATCCGAACAGTCAAGAGACAAAGAATCGGCATTTCACTGCAAGGTTGAAGCGTTCTGCAGACAAGATGCCTGCAAACATCAGCTCCATGCTCTGCTCGCTGTACCCGAAGCGATTACTGGAGCAGGCAGATGCAGGCAGAGCCAAGACATCAAGCACGCATCTTTGCTTGGGCTGCCCCTCTGATGATGTTCCGGGACAATGCCCCTCTGCACCGCAGAACCGTCTATGAAGCCCATTCAATGCGACACGTGCCCCTTGGGCTATAAGCTGCGCCGTCTTAAGGTGTGCCCGTTAACTGCTCTGAAACGCTGCCTGCTCAGGATCTGGAGGACGTAGGTGAGCTCCTCGAGTGATGTCAGCTCCTGCCGTCGATAAAGGCCCGTCAGCCGAAAGCGAAAGCAGGTCGCTGTCAAAGGGAATCCTGAAAGTCCTTCCGCAGGGCACCCCACAAGTCCTGTGAGACGGTGCGGGTCGCGCTCCCCATAACGCAATGCAACAGGTGCAGGGAGATGCAAATCTATCGAATTCTGCAAGCTTTTGCATAGCGGCATTTTTTGTGCAGGCTGCCCCATGTTCGGCAGCTGAGCTGGGTCGTCTCGAACAAACTGACCACGACATGTCTGGGTCCTCCGCACAATCCCGATGGTTGGCTTCTGACTGAGCAGTGCTGCGACACAGGGAACCTTGCAAATGCAACTCGTACTAGTCGCCGTGGGTGTAGCAATAGCAGCAGTGGGAATAGTCGGAATAGTCGTCGTCGAGTAGTAGCAGCAGCAGCAGTGGTAGTAGCAGTAGTGGTCGTAGTTAGCGTCGTAGTTGTCGTGGCGGTGGTGGTAGTGGTGGTGGTGGTGGTGGTGGTAGTAGTAGCAGCAGCAGCAGCAGGAGTAGTAGTAGTAGTAGTAGTAGGCGCTCCCCCCCCCCTACCAACCACCTCTACTTAACCCTGTTGTTGTTGAGAGTGGGGGGTTGGGAGGGGGGCAATGATAAACATGGCAGCCTCAAACAGCTATTTCGCCGCCAGAGGAGGCGTTGTAGTGGTGGTGGTGGTGGTGGTAGTAGCAGTAGCAGCAGTAACAACTAATCATGCCACCACTTTTGTCAGTGCTTATGCCGCTGTTCCAGGTCTTGCCAATCCGTGTTTCCATATGTGGCTTTTTGCGTACATGCTGTGCAGCTCGTTGACACGACATCTTTCTCCAATTGGAGCAACCTGAAGTACCAACTCGCAGCTCGCATCT